GTGGAGGAGGACCTGGCTAAGTGGCCATGGCCTGCAGCAGGGCGCCTTTATCACTTCATTGATGATATTTTGAGAGCCAGTGATTCTCTTGAAGAATTAGAAAAGGCATGACACAAGTGTCACACCTGAAGTCCTGTGGCTGGGCAGTCAGTGAAACCAAGCTGCAAAGGCCTGGATTATCTGTCAGATTCTTGGGGGTTGTCAGGTTGGGTAAGACAAAAGTAATCCCCAATGTGATGATAAATAAAATTCAGTTGTATCCTACCCTGGAGCAGCTCCACTGTGAAGCAGCTCCAGATGTTTTTAGGCCTGCTAGGGTACTGGAGAATGTTCGTACTTAACCTCATTCAAATTGTTCACACCTTGTACACTTTCGTGAAAAAAGAGGTGTGCTGGAACTGGACCCCAACCTTGAAACAAGTGTTCCAAGAAGCAAAGTGCATCATGAAATATGCTCAGGCCTTGCATGCTCTGGATCCTGCCAGACCTTGTAAGCTAGATGTGCATGTTACTCAAAAAGGCTTTGGGTGGGGTCTTTGACAACAATTGGAACAGCTACATCAACTCCTGAGATTCTGGTCCCAATTATGGAAGGGCTCAGAGAGGTACAGTACACCCTAATCAAAAAGCAACTCTTGGTGGTGTATGCTGCCCTGATGGCTACAGAGACTATAACAGGAACTGTCCCCATGATAATAAGGACCACTTATCCCATTGCTGGGTGGGTCCAAGACTGGATGGCCAAGCCTCACCATGGGACAGCCCAGATGTCCACATTGGCTAAATGGGGGGCTTATCTGCAACAATGGAGTACTCTGTCAACTAGCCCCCTAGGGGCCGAGTTGCAGGGAGTGTTGGGCCCTGTTACCTATGCAGATGAAAAATCTCCTGCCCCTGACACAATAGAAGAAGTGGAAGCTAGCCCCTTCCGTGAAGGTCAGGCACCTATTTCCTCAGATGCATGGTATACTGATGGGTCCAGCAGGAACCACCCGCTGTGTGAACTGGTGTAGCGATTCAACCAGAAACAGATACAATCTGGTTTGACAATGAAATCAGTCAGAGTAGCCAGTGGGCAGAACTGTGGGCCGTGTGGTTCGTGGTTGCAAATGAAGCACCGCCCCTGACTATTTGCACAGATAGTTGGGCTGTGTACCCGGGGCTAACATTATGGATCTCTACATGGCATACAAATAAATGGATGGTTATGCATAGGTCATTATGGGGGTCTAGTGGCAAGAATATGGGAATTAGGCCACCAGAAGCAAATCACTGTATATTATGTGACCAGGCATGCACCACTTTCCTCTCCCGGGAATGATGAGGCTGATACAGTAGCCAAGATGTGATGTCTGGAAATGGTGCCTGCTGGCCCATTAGGAACAGGAGTAGCCCAGTGGCTACACTGTTGCCTCTTACATGCAAGACAGAAGACCACGATGTCTACTATAAAAACTTGGGGGTTACCTGTCACTTTAGCAGAGGTACAGGAAGCTTATAAGCCCTGTGTTGTTCGCGAGAATGTCCCCCAAGGCCTGTGGGAACTACTGGGCAGATGGTGCGGGGATGGGTACTGCTTGACCTGGTGGCAGGTTGATGTGATCGGACCCCTACCTAGTTCAGAGGGGTATAAGTATGCAATCACATGTGTGACCATGGCCACCGGACTCTAGTCTGCTTACCTCTCATGGCACCCAGATTAGAAAGTGGTGATCGCTGTGCTGGAGTGCTTAGGCACCACCTAAGGGTGACCCTTGATCATTGAAAGTGATCAGGGAATGCAGTTTACAGGGGCCTTAGTGCAAAAATGGGCCCAAGACATGCAAACTGACTGAAAGTTCCATGTGGCCTATCACCACCAAGTTGCCAGGATGATTGAACAGTATAAAGGCTTATTAAAGCAGGGCCTGCAAGCCACAGCTGCCCCCCTTATGTTGAGGGGCTAGATTAAATGCTTCTGGACTGTCCTCCAAACTCTAAATGGGAGGGGTTGGAGGGGGTCCTAGCTCTGATGGAAGCGTTACTCCACTGGGCTGCTGCTCCAATTCAGCTACAAGTACAGGCTAGAAATGCTTCGCTAAAACCAGGCATGGGAAAACAAGGAAACATTCTGTTGCCTGCACCTGAGGGCCTGGAATGCAGACAAGTGGCCACTTGGACATGGCCTTGGGAAATAGGTCCCCCACATACTCTGGGTGGTTCTTGTTGCCCCTTGGGGATAAAGGGTGGAGAGAAACTTGCAAATAGTGTCCTGGGTGATTGGGACATGGCCCCCAATCTTAAAGATGACATCTAGGGCCAGCAGATCATGAAATACTTCTCCGTGGCTCCTTTGTGATATCCTTATGGCCCATTATAGGTTCTTCACTCTTGTAGCAAGTAAATGCTGAACCCCCAATTTAGGCATGAAAGGTGTGGTATTTGCTCCCTGGGAGGCCCCTCTGCCAACCACTTACCGGCTGCAGTCTTACCGGCCGACTAAAAACTTGCTTGTATTTTGCCTGAGGGTTGTGATTTGCCATTGTTAGTTTTAATAAGTGCTCTGTCTTTTCAGCCCTACGGTACAAGCTAATACCTTAGTTGACTGGGTACATACTTATGTTTCAGTAGCTAATCAATAAGCATGCTGGGTCTGCACTGAATTTCCCCTTAGCACAGCGGCCAGTCTCCCATGGTACATCTCTCTGACTTCCATTCCAAACTGGCCTTGGTTACTCCAGTGGAACAGCACACATTGCTTGTGGAATGCAACTTGGACTGACATCAACGCTGGGGTGGAGCACTGTTATGATCAGCCCTGGCCATTAGTCAGCTGCTCCATATGGGATGACTGAGGGTGGCTTACGACTGAGGCTGTGGAGTTCGCTGGTCCAGTCCCCCTATGTATTGAAAACCCTGAAGGACGAGCCCAAGTGGGATGGACTCCAATAGGTCTGTTCCAGATGTCTGTAACAATGTCAGCCAAGCTCTATGGGCATTAGCTTCTGAGACCCATGCTATCAAACGCCTAAGAGGTGATTCCCTGAAGGAATGATGGGCATCCTTAACTACTGAATGGTGGTGGGTTCTTGCTGTCTTGGGTGTCAGTGCTTGTGTTTTGGTTGCACGCTGCTGCAGCTTGTACTACTGCTGCGGCAGTTGGGTACAGGGCTCTGCCCTCCTCACCAAAGGATCCTCAGGGAAGACACCCTTGTGTAGATGGTACAGTGAGGAACTCTGAAGGGGTGGGATTTAGAGACAATGGAGTCAATCAGGCTCCCTCACCTGGATATCCGGGGAACTGGGACTCAGCAGTGTTTCTGTAACTGTGCTTAAGGGCCCGCATGAACAGAATCAAGTCCAGTTATATAACCAGGAGATCCGATACTGGCACCCCACTGGCTTTGTGTACACTTAGTATATAAGGGAAGTGGGACTTCCCACTGTGGCACTAGCGGCTTGCAGCACACATGGATTGTCCCACCGCAGAATAAAGGCATGTCAGACATCCTGACAGCTCTGCGTATTTTCTTCCGTCTGCCCAAATCCCGTGTGAACCTGCCTGGCCTTGCATGCTTGCAGGACACCTTGTAACATTAGAAAAGTCAGTTATCATCCTGCTCTCATATGCGTCTTTGTGCTCAGTTCTACCCAATTTGAGGCTCTCTTTACTCAGGTTCCTCAACCTCCAAGTCAAAAAGTTGCTTAAGATCTCTTGGTGGATATAGTTTAGGAAAATAGAGCTAATTCTTGACAGAATGCTTTTTAATGCAATGCAACAGCTATAATTACCATTGGGAAACAAACATTATGGATGTTGCAAAATCCATTTAATTTGCAAAAGGATATACTGCAATTAATCCCAAATGGCAATTAATAAGTTAGCAGGGAAGACAGGAGTTGAAACAATAAATAATTTTCATGTTTTAAGTTAAACGTTTCAATTCTCATGACACTTACTTCCTGGCTTTGGGAAGTACTGTATAGTGATTTAGTTTAACCCAGTAAGGAAAGCCTAGCTTAGCTGCTAACTTGGCATAAGAAAGGGATGAAAAGCATCTATATTTCAGGTCTTCTCAAACAATGAAACAGAGATAATATTGATCCAAGACCCTAAGCATTTTTCAAAAAGTATTTCTGGATTAATTCTGATAGACTCTTTGCAAGTCATTGTGTTTTCTGGAAACATCGTAAGCATAAATACAATTTAAGTTCAGTAGAGTGATCACCTGCTCTGCCTCTATCTCTGACTCTTTTCTCTAAGCAAAGAGACCTAAAAATCCACTTAGTAGGGAAAACAGCCTATTCTTTTTAATCTTGGAAGGCACAAAAGGTATAAGCATCCAGAAAAAAAGCAGAAATATTGATTCACTGCAAAGAGCTGTGCAGAGCAGCCTATCTCTCATGAAGTTACTATGCTTTCAGAAGTAAGTTTTCCTACAATCAGAAGAAAATAAAGATGGAAGTATTCATCTGTGGATAATGAGGATTAGTGTAGGCCAATATAGGAACAAGTTTTCAGCAGGGCCCTATTCAACATGCTTTAGCCCAATACTTCCATTGGTTTTTTTGTTGCTATTATTGTTATTATTACTATTGCTGCTGCTGCTGCCGCTGCTACTACTACTACTACTACTACTACTTTGGTCCCAGATGGAATAGAATTTTTCCTAAGAATTGCCAAATAGCAGGTGGTAATGCCATGTTCAACTTTGCTCTGTATCTAAATTTAGCCTGGTGCATTAATAAAGACCATCAGATTTATCACCTGTTTTCTACAAGAACACTTGCCAACAGATATTTGTGAATCATTTAAAAAAGAAACTTTACCAAATGGAATATAGAACATTTGACACAAAATTTGGCATTGGAAATCTCCCATTTATAAGGCTAAATTCTCTATTCATTATCTTGACAAGTATCCAATTTGGGTTGGTATTCTACCTCAGGAAATGTCTTCTTAATCTTCTCTCCTTATTAGGATATTACTGTTAAAAGAGGACTTAAAAAAAACTTTGAAATTTATTTGATGCTGGAATAATACCAGTTTCTTTAATAATCACAATGCTAATATAATAAAAGCCATCAGGTTTGGGATATTTTATGAAAATGTTTAATTCAACTGTTTCTTTGGAATGTAGTAGTCATAGTTTGGAATTTAAGTTACAGTTCAGTTCTATGCAGTTTTTATGCTACTCAGTGTCTGAGAATACAAATGTCATTTAAAGTTAAGGCTTTGCTGTTCATTTTGAAACAACAATTTACAAGTGTCATATTGTCATAGAAAATAAAAATTTCTGTAAAAAAAATTTGCACAAAATTTTATGATGGTACAAAACATGAAGCAATAATATACCAGTAAAATGAAAACATTTTACTACAGAAAGTTTTATAGATTTCAATAAAGAAAAAATATGTTATTTTACACCTTTAGAAATTACGAAACAATCTAAAATAATATAAACTGAACATTTTGTAACACTGCCTTTACAAATTAATAAATTTATAAACATATAATTTTTAAATATATTTATCAGTGCAAGATACTTTAAAATTTAAAGTTTCAGTATCATTTTTCCTTGGATGAGGACAACTTTAAGTCCATTGTCTTAAAAAAAATCAAGTATTAGTGCTTTCATCCTGGTATGATTATGACAACTGAATGAATGCCTCTGGGGACAAAAATCTATTCTTATTTCATAGTGATCAATACTTTCCTGGAAACAGAAGACATTCTCAATCCAATTAAACAAAGATGAATGGACCATCTCCTCCATGATGCAAATGCAACTCTCAAAAAATTTTTGAGTGAGACCTATAGCAATGCAGGAAGGGAATTCTAAAGGTTCTTATGTACAGTATGGCATGACACAAACAGATTGAAAACAACCAAAGCTTCTCTGGATTAATTCCTCTGCTGCCTGATCAGATATTTACTTCTATGACTTGTTAGAGGGTTAGGTCTTCCCAGTCCCAAGGCAGGCTTTTCCTTTATGAGCCAGAGGAAGTTTCTAGAAGCATTCATTCAAGTCTGTTTTCTCAGAGTTGCTGCTAAATGGATTTTTAAAAGCATTTGTTTTGACTTTACTAATTTTTTATCACTCACATACTTCACCACCAGGCACCAGGATTTCTAGCCACTTCCCTAAATTAACTGATCTTTCTTCCACTTCCTTGTCTTATCCAATACCAAAACAAGATCTCAGGGAACATTTTTTCCTAAATAGATGTGAAAATCTCATATTTCTGGACATTTGGAGAATTGTATCCAGTCCTTCCTTTGGGTCTCACTTGAAAGCCAGTTGGTATTATTTCTCCTCTCAAGTTGTCATTATTTCTATTAAATGCAAACATTTCTATCAAAGATCATTTTGATTGGAGTAGACAGATAAATGGCTTAAGGAAAAAAGATACTGTCACTTTTACCAGTTAACAAGAAAACCAAAGTTAGACTTTGGAGGGCAGAGTTAGGAATTTCCCTTATTTATTTGTTTTTAAACATAAAGTCTAGTAAAGTTCTTTGCCATTACCAGCAGGTTAAAGCTGCAAGTTCTTTTCTGGACAATGGCAAATGCTTAACTTCTAAGAGAGAAAAAAGACAGAGAGATAGGAGAGAAAGAGTTTACATTTGAAAATACATTCCTTATGAAAGAACCATAGGAGAGAATATTGCAGCTTTATACAAAGGGATCAAGAGACAGGAAATTGAACTATGGAAAAAGCAGAGCAATTAAGCCATGTTGCCAAATATTCCCAGCCCTTGCCTTCCCGGGAGCTGATGTCTCACACTAAAATATACTTTCTCGTTAGACAGTGGGCCACCGGGCTTTGATTAAAGAGCTGGACTTACACCAGCAAGGAACAGAGCAGGTCATTAGTATAACACAATGTGAACTAGTACAAACAAAAAGGCACTTGAGAGGACATGGACTAGCCAGTGCCGAGGATTTTCTGTTGTGTTTGTCGGCAGCACACCCAGTTGCCAGCAGAGTCTGGTAATGGCAGTTTTCTGTATGAAGTTCACAAGCACGAGGTTTAGTACAACACTGGAAAACATCAAGGAAATTTAACGGTATTGCTTCGTAAACAGAGCTGACACACTATATTGGTACTGAGGCTACAGCACTTTAAAATAAAACATCCTAATCCTTCTTTGCCTATGCACGACACGGGCAATTATACACAGGTACAGCTTCAGGAGTCCACTGAAATGCAGTTATTCTAATATACTCTGGGCAATGGGCTACAGGTAACATGTCCGTCAAAAGGGCCCCAGGGAATACACTTGGTGCCAGCATCTTGGATTTTGCACAGTTTCCATAAAGTATTCATAAAAAGAAGAGAGGGGGGAGTCAAAATGAATCAAGTCAATCATACTTGGTCTCAACACCAGCATTTGATTATTCAAATTAAACCAACAGAAAAAAAGCTGACTGTACATAATTCCGATCGTTAACACAGCTAACTTGTTCACGTCTGTTGGCCATACTCTTTGAAGCTCCTGAGAAAAGCCTGGCTCAGCGTCATCAACGCATTTCCCAGCCTGTCCAGTGAAAGATCAACATCAAGTTGCTCTTATGCCCTTCTACCTCAATTCTCCAATTCGTCTTTTCATCTGTCTGCCTTCATGCCTCCGAATAAGTATTTTGTGTGTTCAGTTTGTCTTTTTTCAACTTCACACCATCCACCAGTTCGAAATTATAGTTCTCCAGGGCAGATAAGTTTCTTTCTGATATGCCATTGTGCCAACAGGCGCAGTAGAGCACGACCCCGCAGACGGCACCCAGTAGCACACCCAGGGCACTCATAGCTATGATGGTGATAAGGATGGGGTCCAATGTGTTCAGCACATTGCCTGGCTTCCTGGAGATGTTCCCATCCCCTTCTCCTGTGCCCTCGTATCCTGGAGTGCTCCCTGGGGAGAAAAACAAAACTGGCGACATGAGAACTGCCAACATACCAGACAGAAGGAGACAGAACAATAGAGAAATGGAAGGATAAAGACAAAATCACATGCTCATCTTCTGTCCTCTCCTCAGACGCTGCAGGGGATTTCTGAAGTGGGGTTTGGCTCCCTGATGCCAGGAAACACCCAGGTTTGTGTCTGGGTGTTGGGAATGGAGGTGTAGCAGGGGTAACCGCGGTGGGGGGCAGGGCTGTGGCCCTGACAGCTAGCCTAGCATATGGAAATAACCGATTCTGGGTAAACAGTGGGGTTTATGTTCTAATATAATTCAGATTTCATGCAACCTACCATCTATGCTAGATTATAATCTGTGTTTTTAGTCTTTGGCCAGACACAGTTACTAAGCTTTGCAAAATGCTTAGTCTCATATTTGTCCAGTGACGGATTTAACCATTCTCTGGGTGTTCCCCTGATCCTACCCAGGCACCAGGACACTTTCTGGGCTGCCCTTTCCTGAGGGCATGTCCAGTGCCTGGCATGGTTTACACATGGCTTGTTCTCCCACATGTAAAATCTTCAAGTCTGTCAAGTTTCTTCCAAGTCTACAGTGGTTTCATTCAAGAAAAAGAGATCTTTCAGAACAAGGGAATGCTTGCTGCTGACATTTAAAAGGGACTATGTATGGCTCCAACCTAGATACTAGGTCTTGCTATGCTAAGTTGAACATGTTTAATAATTAGCATCTATGCAGCCCTGGTGGTTTCACTGGAGACAGTCATGTTGCCTTGCAGTTCAGTCCCTGGAGAAGTGTTTTCTTTAGAGTGGAACATGAGGGTTTGTGAACATGGGAGTTTTGGGCCTAATTACCTGGTACTAGAAATGAGACTAAAATGTTAATGTGCATTGTGCATGGCATTTACTTACAGTGCTCACATCAATGAAGATTCCAATCAAAGAAAACTAAAAATATGAGATGCAAGTCCCTAAACAGGAGCAAACAACCCATGGGGGCATATTAATGTTTTCTCTCTTGATAAAACGTTGTTTTGAAACAACCTTTAACAAAGTTTACATCTCAGAGCAGGCTATGTAGCTAAGCTAAATAAGTCACGTGTCTCTGTCAAATCGAAGTCTGGCTATGGTAGGACCACATTGCTAAGAGCAACAGATGTTGATGCCAACAGGTAGGGCTGGGACAAGTGTCCAACGATTAACAGCTGCTGGCCAGCAGGTATGGAAAACTCTGGAAATAAAATAACATCAGATAAGGCCTAACTCTGATCAAATATCTTGAATTGGATCACCAACTAGTGTTCAAAGAAAACACATTTTCAAGTTAATCAGTCTCAAGTTGGAGTCTACCACCTAAATGGCTGTGCTACTTCAGGCAAGTCACTGCCCTGAGTTTCAGTCTCTTCATCTGAAAAGGGGAAAAATAAACCTCAGAGAACAGTTGTGAGGAGTATAGAGATAACCTATGTGGTGGGTAAAGTGCTCGGGGCAGACTAGCTCCTCAGTAAATCCTTACCATCATCATCACAAATCTAGGGTTCCAGTAGAGAGGATGGTAACATATGGACCAAACTCAACAGGTTGTCACAGGCACTGGGTTCCATTGCTTTAAAGACCATCTCTGGATATCAACCAGGCTCAAGCATTTGGGTTGGTTTCAAGTTACAGTGTGGAAATCACTGCAGGTCTTGGGAATGTCTTGGTCTTCACTAGCTCTCTGTTTGCAGTTATAAAATGAGCCTGGCTCCCTTCATTATCCTCTAAGTCCTCTTTCAGCTCAGGTAGGGAAGGGCCTGGCTGGCACCCTGCTCCAGGGCTCAACCACTTGCGCAAGCCAGACTGACACAGAGTCTGGCAGCTTCAGTGCAGCTTAGACTGCATTGTGATAGAAAGTTTTCCTATAAATAGAATGAAAGCCACATAAAATTATTTTAAAAATTGGTCAGGAAGTAAAATTGGTCAAATTTACCTGTTTCATCAATTTTATTTTCTGGGTTCTTTTTATCCAGATCTGCTGGTCCTGACAAGTCAAACAAAATCAAAAAAGATATTTGAACTGTTAACAAAATACAATCATACAAACTACATAAACCTTACACATAGATGCTCATACACACACATGCTCATGGCCCAGCTGACTTTCCTTTGCAGTTTGAGTACAATTGACCCACCACATAACTGCGGAGCGATAGAGACATTGTGAAATGATTATGTAGTGGCACTAAATCCAGGTATGTGGCAGTGATATTAGCCAAGTGTGCTGTTTAGGAGCAGAGAAGGGTTGAGAGAAACAGTTCTGGCATTTGGAGTGTGGGAAATTTGGTGAAAATAAGAAAAAGAAGTGGGGTTGTTCATATGGCTACCAGACTGTGCCTTTGTAGGCAACAGCTTCCTAAGTTTGATGAGTGTTAGTTTGGTTTCTCAGATAATATACTAGCTCTTGAGGCAAGAGACTGTGTCCTGTATGTTACAAAACAACAACAATAACAAGCAACCCTCCTCCACCCAAAAAACCCCAAAAAACAAAAAAATGGAAAAAAAGAAGTCTCTGGAAAAAGTGGAGTGTTGGCATCCCTTACAGTTCTGAGTAGAGGGCTGGGGATTTTCAGTACTTTGTTCACTGCTATATCCCCAGCATTTAGAACAGTGTCCAGAACATAATAGGGGCCACACTAAATATTTGATGAGTAATTATATAATTATTCAAGACATCTTTTCAACAGTACAGCAACAGAAAGTGTTTAAGGGGGCTTTCGCTGTGACTTTCTGAGGACAGTGCCTTGTGACAGCTACAGCAAAGTGCACCGGTAACATGAAAAGGAAAGTGCTCACAGAATTGTCTCAGGCTTCTCTATATTAATGGGAGCACTGGACGCTGCTTTGCATATAGTAAGTGGTCAGTTAAAACTTGTTGAACTGGAATTTGTTTGTTTTAGTTTGTGGAGTTTGCTCTACATTTGAAAAACATCACCATCATCACCCTCACCCTAGAATAGGAAAGCAGTGGTGCTGCGTGCACTGTGTAACTACATGGAATGTGTCTCTTAACAGCAGTGTAGACTTGGATGTGGAGAATTTGTAAAGTAATTGCAACTGAAATATCCTTTTCTATGAAGATTTCCTAACTAGTGTGACATTAAATATATTTCCTTATATAGTATGAAAAAGGAGATTTTATTCACTGCTCTTTTATTTCCCCCAATTTCTTTAATTTGACACTATCAAATTATTGCCCCTTTAGAAATGATGTATATTCAATATATTGTATAAAATGCTCTGTAAATTGCTGAAGTGACCAAAAACCCATTATAGCCAATAGGTTTCCTTTGCCTTGAGTCTACCCAATAGACTTATTCCATTTTGTTGTGCTTAACATCCTATTATATAATAATATATAACAAAAATTTAATTATAGCAAATGGAGCTTAGGACTAATTACTGTGCTATTACACTGCCATTAGTGATGCTATTTATAATTCTATATTAAGAACTGGGGAATATGGATTAGTTTTCTATCTGACTTTTATCATATACATATAAATAAAAACAGATCAATAAAAAACAAACTCTGAAATACTAGGCAAAGTTTCTAAATTTAATTTATTCTTTGGAATCATTTCAAATATTTTAGAGTAAGAAATATGTTTTTGTAATAAAGCAAATGATGGTTTCTATGATTCATTAACAATATTATCTCAAATTCACTGTGATTAAACTTTCAAAGGCCTGCTGTGTTGTTTACGCATACAAATATTTAGAATTATCCAGATGTCTGAGTTTTCCACTGCTCGTTAAAATGTTTTGGCATGGTATATATAGCCTGTAAACTGAGTTTTTCTTTGCTATGATCTTTGGAGTTCACATCATTACATGGTTTTATAGGGACCAATCAGACATAAATGAAATAGGTTAGTCAGTGGGGCAGCTAAATGTAAACTGACCTGATTTTTGCCCTGTTGCACCAGAACATTGATGTCACATGATAAGCTCACAGGCCACAGTGAAATTCTAGGTCTAGATGAGCAAGACAAAGCCCATTATATGGCCAGAATTCTGCCCTGGGCAAGTGCTCCACCGGTTTCCACAGAACTCGTACTTACGTGCACATTCCTCTTGTGAGATGTGGTTATTAATACTAATGTCATCCACCGCAATTCCGCCAAGGTTTCCCTTTCCAATTTCGCCCTCAAAAATCACCTAAAAATTAGATCATTTCCACAGTATTAAACTGTTCAGTCCCAAATCGCAGTGCCCACAAATGCTTGCTCAGCTTAAGATATGGCACATAAATTCATGAAATTTCGCATTGCTGCATGCTTTACTCAGCGATCCATATTAACTGCCTGGCTATGGCATAAAACTTATCCTCACACTCTCTTTTCATAATATAAAATTTAAAACTGAAAAAAAGCAGGAGATAAAATGAATGTTCATTGTGACAGCCTAAAAATAGATTATAAAGTAACATATTTGCCCATTTCTCAGCAAATTGGTTCTATTTCTGTAATCTAGGACTCTGCAATATGCTACTGAGATTATCATCATTGCCGCAATATCTCAGTTTCAAGAAACCCCTAAAATAATTTTTGGAATGATTCCCACACCTCATCTGATAACCTTCAGAACATGATCCCCCGTGTCCCTGAAACATCAGCCCTCCTTGCCCTGGGAAGGGGTATACCTGGTAAAGTTTCAGAGACTTGTGTAGCAGGACACGTCCTTCCTTCCAGTGGTCTCCTTGGTGTCCGATAGCCATCCAGACCAGCTGGTCATACTCCTCTGGCTTCTGGTAGCGCAGCTTGACTCTCAGTGTGCCCACATGTGAACCAGACATATGATACCAGAAGGTCATGCAGTGGGCGGAGTTCTGGGAATGAACCACAGGGCTAACCAGGCGAGCCACTTTGCCTTTCTGATTTTCATCAGCTTGGGAGTAGATGAAGTTGCCATCTCCTGCTGTGACAGAAAACTGTGTTAGGAAGAGTGGCCGAATTTATGACTACTTTGTTCTTTTCTTTAAACTTCCACCACTCAAAATTTCTCTTCTGGACTGAGTACCAAGAACCCAAACCTGCAGTGGAAAGGGAACAGGGCACCATTGTCGGGGACCCAAGGCTCCGCTCTGCAGTGTAAGTGAATATATGGTTGGGAAAAGGCTGTAAAGCAGCAGTGAGACACTATCCATTCCAAGCATGGTTGGAGGGATGTGAACTGTGACTCAAAGCGCCTCTGCACCATTGCAAGCAGACTGAAAGCAGAGGGCAGACCTATTTTCATGCTACTTTAAGGTTGATTGCTTCAGCAGCACCTCTGTGAATACAGACACTAAATGGAATATGGTTATTTAGATGTATTCTTATTTATCATTCAAGCAGCAAGGCTTCTGGATGATGATACTTTGAGCACTATAACTACTTGATAATAAAAAAGCTGCATTTTTTTCAAATAATCTAGTGATCTTTTTTCCCCAAATTCAGATTTTTTCCTACTTTATTTTAATGATATACATTCCAGAAATAAACCCAAGAGCTTGAATCTCAACTGTGTCCCGGCTCCTCTGGGATGCAGGGTTCTGGTTCAAGGAGAGGCAAGGTTGCATTTTCGAGCCTTATCAGGAGGTGTCATTTCGGTAACATAGACATTTGCGGAGCTGTGAGGACTTACTTTTGGCTTTGCTTTTAATTACTCACAGTGGGAACATTACTTCCTGCCACCACCTGGTCTAACACACAACTCATGCTTCCCTGTTTACTCTGCAAATAGAAATTGCCTCCTCTCTGCCTCACCTGATTTAAGTGTGAACCTGGTGCCTGGGCCTCAGTGGGCAGCAGGGTGTTTTGTTTGCTGTCTGGGAGGTGTGTATTTGTAAGATAATTTTTCATGGTGCACACATGAGCAGATCCTTGTATCTGCTCACCTGTGTCAGTAGTGTCCATGTGGGAGTGGATGAGTCAGCAGGCAGCTTTCTTCTTTCTCCTGGCTGCTTGTCTGAGACTCCACTGAAGCATGCTTAATGAAGCTGACAGGTGGAATAAGAAAAGGAGGGAGCAGATAAAAATCACAGTTCCAGTATTATATTTGATGCTCTCAGTGCTTAGAGAGGGTCCCCTGTGACTAGGCTGACTAAGTTGCTCCTGGGGTTTGTTTTATTTGGCTGATAAAATAAAGCAAGTAGCGGTGGCCTTTCTTGGAGACAGTGCCATTTCACTGAGCTGAATAGTGGATCAGTCCATCAAGACGGACAGTGAAGAGGTATACAATGTACCCATCTTGTTTTTACCTCCTCCCACAATCTTATGGAAAAAGACTGAAGTTGGAGATTGGCAGAGAGGAAACGCATTCATTGTGCCCATGGAGTTGATTTGGGCAAGTTAGTGAACAGGTGGCAGACAGAAGGTAGGTGGATGTGCGCAAGAGGAAAACTGTCTGAGGGGCCTGACCTGGCTTTGGCCCTGCTGCCATTGTAGACTTTGAAAAATTTGCTCATGTTACATTTCTGTTTAAAATGCTCCTCACTGCCTTCAGCCCATCCCCTGTCCCATATCTAACTGCTTTACACGGGAATCTTTCCAAACCACATCACTGGCAGTCTGCCAAAATACAGACCCCCTCCCCTTCACGCCTTCTGCATAGGTCACTCCTTACTCAAGCCGAGCTTACAGTATCTCTGAGAGAGGACTGCTCTCTCTGACCCTTCCTGTCTTATTTTTCATGATCACTTCTGACACTGGTCTCCCTCATTCCACTGCACTGTGATCATTTCCACCCACAACCAGACTGGGAGCTCTTCAAGGGCAGGGCCATCCTCCTTTAAACATGCGTCCCCTGTGCCCAAGACATGTGTTGTGTAACAATGGGGCTGCTCAGGTGCCATGTGCCCAGTGAACCAGGTAAAGATTCTGGGCTTCAGGAATCCTCTCTGAGGAGGTACATAGCTTCATTCTTAGAGGTCAAACGCAGAGAAACAAGTGGGATTCCTTTAAATAAATTCAAACAGCAGGACAGTGTACCTAGGTAGTGTTAGTTTAAAAACAATCTTCATGTCTGATCTGCAAAGTGCTGCATTCCATGTGATGTTGGTCTGTGCGCATGTGAGCTGTGCAGGGTTCTTCCGCCTACGTTTTCTCATGTTAACAAGCCCTGCCTCTCAGATGTCAGGTTCACCCACTGCTCTTGGCAAGTGATTGCATTACTAGTGCTGCAGGAGGCTCTTTCCAGTCAGGGCAGGCCTGGCACTATAGCTAGGGAAATCTGGGTGTCTGGGAGAGCAAAAAACACAGATCCTGCTGAAGAAATCCCACTTCTTAGCTGTTACCCTAAGACAAGCTGTCCTCTTCTGATACTCAAACACACAGTGCTGATATTTTCCTTCTCAGGGCTTTTGTCACAGCTCTGGGTCAGGAACTCTGTTTTCGTTTTCTCAATTAGTGCTTCACCTCTGTGAGCCTTTCAGCTTTTGTCTCCGGCTAACATCACTTTTAACCTCCTTTGAATGTCAGATCCCACTGAGCCATTTTGCTCTACTTTGCATCAATTTTTCCACCATTACTGCCTTCACTCCAGCTAACTGCATTTGGTTAATTTGATGCCATTTATATGTACGGTGCCATTTACAGTGAAAGTATTTTAAGTTTTCTAAAACTGCTTGTCTTAAGATTCAATTGAAAGTATATCAGAATTAAAGGAGTCCAATTTTATCCAATGGCCTTGTCATTCTCAATAGGCAAGGAGCTAGCTGTGGTGGAAGGAGGCCTTTTCAGCCTACTTAATGGTTATATTTGCTGAGGACATAGCATAGAAAAGAGAACAACAAAATGGAAAAGGCATGAAGTGCCCTCTGCCCACCCATTGCCTCACTGGCCCACTGGCTCAAAACACCAGCATGGGGGAAACGTTGCTTAATGAGGTCTCTCAGCAACAGCAAATATCTTGGGGAAGCCACTACTGAGTAAGCAGTCCTGTGAGCATCACTGAGTATGGGAAATTTTTGTGGGTTGGGTGCTCATTGTGAGTGTGTGTATATTAGGGCAGAACACTGTGGGTTTTTTATACCACATCTCAAATTGGGGAATGAAATAACTGTGAAGGAAAGAAGACCGGGGTAGATAGAAGATTTCACTGAAGTGGTTGGCATCAGTTCCCTCTCTCCCCCAACTTATCCCTCTGCCACCAATTAAATTTAAAGGGAAATAAGACGGGGCCAGGGCCAGGAGGCAAGGTGTTGTGAACTGGGGTGTCGTGAGGTTTCCACCTTCTCAGATTTAAAATCACCCCCAAAAGATAAGAACCTCACCCCACCTTCTGGACCACTTCTACTTTAAGGGTCCAGAGAGAACAAGAATGAAGCTCATTTATTGTTTGTTCACCTGTAAATAAATGAGATGACATAATATGTGTCTGGACTTGCCTCAGAACAGGGCAGAGTCAGGAATAACGAAGTAAGATCCTTATGATTTGATCATTGTTAAAGTTGGAGTGTGCACATTCAGGGCTTGTTGCTATTTCTTTTCTACTTTTGAATTTGGTTTTCTTCATTGAAAAGGATCAGAAAAAGTATAAAACAGGTACTCATTCACACAACTTGGCCCAGTTTGCTATATTTCAGGAGGTCAATCAGTTGCCCAATTTAGTCAGCATTTTCTGCTACTAAGTGTATCTCTACTAGGGAAAGAAATCTCGTTAATTTTAGGAAATAAAAGCATAAGTGAACACTCTGTAGTATTTTCTATATCCCCTAGATTCACAGACTCTAGGAAACCTCCACAGTTACGCTTCTAGTTCAAAGAAATTAGGCCACAGTGAACTCCCCATTACCTGTGTGATCCTGGATTGGTCCCGTTTTGCTGGTCAACACGCTCCACTTGAGTTGCACGTGATTGTCATGTTCCCAGTGACAGAATGTCTTGTGAGAACCCCAGCCAAATTCGCAGTTAAAACCATATGTTGGAAACTCTTCAGTGGGTGGAAAAGAAAAATAGAGACAAGCAGAGAAAGACAAATTTAATCATCTGGGTCAGAAAGGCCCTTAATTTGTTCATGGAAAGCACAATTTATGCATCTAACTTAATGTCTGTTCGAAAATTCTAGGAAAGGCACAAAATCCAGAATAACCAGGAAACTCAAAGGTGCATGGAGATGTCAAACATTTGCAAAATCACATTTAGTAATTTTTTAAAATGCAGCTTCATAAAAGTATGGACTGTCTGTTTTATATGAAATCTCCTGGCAGGTTACTTTCCAAAGCACGTATATTATATCTGTAGTATTCTCCTTATTTCTACAATATTTAATATAAAAGATACTATGTTCTTGAGGATGGATTATATATATTGATATTCACCAATTAAAATAATCTTAATTAGAAATTGACCCAGGAATCTCAAGTCTAGAAATGGATGAGTGAATCCCTCAGCCTGGAGGCTATTTGTATTCTCAATACAGTGGCTTATACTTTGGGTCTTTAGTGCCAGAACTCTGAAGCAGTTCTTAAGGTTATTTTTTTTTTCTTCTGTGCTTTATTTTAGGTCAATTAATTGTAAGTGTAGTTTCTGCCCTTTTAATGAATTTTATAATTTGCATACAAATGGTTCATTTTACTTAAATACCTCAATACAAGGTCATGTAAAACTGAGGCACATTTGAATAGATACCCATTTTATTTTTTATTTTGTTTTGCTTTGTTTTTAAATATTCAAGACGCTTCCCTTGGGATCTGAAAGAAAAGTATGAGTGAATTCTCAGGAATAATTTCTCTTGTATGGTCTGCAAGAAGCTACTTGACTATAGTGTTTTTTTTTTATTTTAATTTTTTTTACTCCATCCTCCTTTTGAAAGTAGCTTGAATTTCAGTATGGAAAAAATGAAACTCAATGATGCTCAGATGTTTTTCGGTAAATTTAAGTTAACAATAAAAAGACTCCTAAAGATAAGACGCTCATGCTTCTGTCAGTTCCATGCCTCCTCCTTATGAAAATGGAACACAAGAGGTCTGTTTCCCTAAAGAAGGTTGGCGATGCTTCTCACAGAGGTGAGGCGGTCCACAAGGTGGCAGCACGGAAACAGAGAGAAAGTGCCTAGGACGACTTGCCAACCGAATCTACAAATGTCTCAAAACCATCCCAGTGCACAATAAGGGAAGTGAGGTATTACCTTGTATTGATCTTTTCTTTAACTTTACTTAAGTGTTTAATACAAAATATCTTGCTTTCTTCTTCGAGCCTGGCTCCTTTACTTCTCTTCCACATTAACAATGACAAGAGGAATTTTAATGGAAGATTTATTGAATAGATAAAGATGATTTTCTTTGCATTGGTAGTTTGCAAGGAACTCTTTTCAAATGCTATTGTAAAATTTTGGAAGAAATGCACTATATGGATTGTTGAAACTGAGAAGGATGGAGTCTTGCTTTCAGTGACAATGTGACCTCCCAAAGTGTGCACAAGGCCAGTGTGAGGAAGTATATAAGCCATATGATGTGTATAATGTGATCACTTTGAGTTAGTGCTCACAATATTACCGGAGAGCTGTACTTCATGTCTAGCCCACCATAACCATGAAATAGAACTTCACATAGCATGAGAAACCCTTTCCAAAATTTACCACATTTGTGCAACAATATCGAATTATGTAGATGAAGTAAAGTCAACTGAACAGTGACTGAATGGTTGAACAACCTCAGAGGTCAATGCCCACAATCAGGAATGTATCGTTGCATAATCTCATGTTAGAAAATGTTAATAATGGAATATGTTAATGTGTGTGTGGTTTTGGATTTTCTCCTTAAATGTAGTTTACAAGACACGCACATAGAGGAGGACAGCAAGCCATTACAGCACACACGTCTGGTTATATTTACCTTGTTAATACATTAAATTTATTATATCGTATAGAAAACCACATTGTCATTATTTTGGCTAGCAATATTCTGGTTATATCATAAAATACATGAAATTTGGTATTTCTGTAATCACTAGGACAGCTTTGCCTAAAAGGGTGTTTTTGGCATTTCTCCTGTTTCAATAGATGGCAGTTTACTTTGATCTTCCAACATTTAATGAGTCTAATAGGGTGAACTGCTCTAACATATTGTATTTTACTACTCTTTTTTCTTCCTTTCCTGAGTATATAACTTACTGTGGCCAATCTTGCTTATTTAAAATATATTTTTTAAAGTATGCATTTTGCGAGGGAGAGGTATAGAGTAAGAGTAGCTCAAATGTTGAAAATTGAAGCCTAAACAGAGAGACAATTAAACACACAAAATACAAGTAAGCATTTATAGAAAGGAAGAAAAGAAGAAAACAGAGAAAGAGAAAGGAATGGAAGAAGAAAAGAGTTGGGAAAGAGGAAAAAAACAATGGATCAATAGAATCAGTATATGGGACTATGGACCTTAAAATCTTCAAAATATTACTCAAGCCCTGTAACTGCACAATTCTTGTTAAATTCATTGAGAATAATCTGGCTAAATAAATTCGTTTTTGAATCTTAAAAATTGCAGGAAACAATATTCTGAACTTGAAACAAATTTATAGCCCCTGTGAGCAAGCACCTGCTGTACTTGTTGAACCTGTCTTGCTTGCAGTTGAATCATTAGCACAGTATATGCACAAGGACTTAACTTTTAAATCTGGATTTCTATTGAGTTGTTAACTCATAGACTGGACTTTCAGTACAAACAAGTAGAGGAGCAGAGCCCCATGTAATCAGAGTTTATGAATACACTCTGAGCTGCTCTAGGACTATTTGAAAATTCTCAGAAGGTAAAAGTCTTCACCAGGGGTAGCTGGATTTAAAATGTAGGGTTCTCATCAGTTCCTGGCAGAGAATTGACAGAGTTTCATGCATCTGATGACAACCCAGGCAGTATATGAATATTATATACCCACTGAGTTTATTATATGGAATCCTAAATGAAACCTTGAGACTCCACTTGAGTCTATACTGGCCTCATCAAAATCAGATTACGACAAAGGTTTAGGGGTCTGATTTTTTGCTGCTTGTTAAGATGTCTAAAGTATCTGAAGCCTGCAGAACAGTATGGGCCTGACCCCTGGGGGACATCTCAGAGTTAGAGTTGGCTTCTGACTTACACTCTCAGGTCCTTGTGAGCATTCTAAACATTGGCTTAGTTAGAAAGTGACAATGCACAGAACTCCTCAAAAGAAAAATAAATGCAGACATCCATTATCCACAAACAAAGACTTGGAGCCAGATTTGTGGTTCAGGCAATGGAAAAACAGGAAACCAGAGTGATTTGTAAAGGACTCTGGGCAGACCCTGGAATTCAAAAGTGGACGCTATCAGTAAACACTGTAGGTTTGGCATGGACTTATTCAGATTGTGCTAACAATGTGTCTTCCTGGTTCTTGATTTGTACATCTGCCCTCTGGCTCCAGTAGACCCTGTGGAGGTGACTGTCTGGCCCTGAACCTCTTCTGTGAAGCTTTCATACCAATGGCCTCGAGCTCATGCACAAATCAAGTGTGTTCATAAAGTCATTCCTGCTCTGATAAAATAGACCTTCCACATTCAGGGATCTGATAGGCCTTTCTGTTTTCTCTGCAGGAGTTGCTCCCTCTTATTTCTTTAATGATCCTTAGCTCTTTTAATAGACAAGAAGAAAGATGACATAAAAACAAGTTAGTTGGCAATTTCATAGTGGCTTTAATTAATTCTCTGGCACAATTTTAATTGTGCAGCTAAAATGTTTGTTATATTGTTAGAACTTCATTTTCTCACCTGCCCCCTCTTTTCTATTACAGAGTCCTAGAGGGCCAGCCGTGGTTGCTCTGCAGAACATCACCCCATGGGGCTGAGAATTTTCAGGAAGAGCAGGAAGCAAGTGAGACACCTGCTTCACTCATGAGGCAGCTCCAACTCTCCAGGTGGCTGCACCATCCTTTAAGGACACATTGTATACCAGAAAAAGATGTGGGTAGGACTACAGAGTTTTCAGAATTTTTGGTGGACAGATTACTTTTCTGTTTCATCTTTTGGTATTTGGGGTGTTTGAGTTGTGTGGTATCAGGAATTTTGTCAATCTGCACACTAGAAGGAAACCTGGGTTAAGTCCAACTGAAGAAAAGTTTGTTTTGTAGTTTAATCAGGTCAATAGTGAAAGGGTCCTATAAGAAAGCATACTAATTAGAGCAGTCCTTTCTGCTCTCTGCCTAGCTGGGTACTGTCATGGTGTTGAGGAAACATTGATATACACCACACGCCCCATTAGTAAGTGACTGTGGAGGCCAGGGCTGCATGAGCTTCTATAAAGGAAATGGGAGAAGCTGGAAAGCTGACCTGTTCACCTGACTCTAATGATTAACTTTAAAGTATTTGAAACCTCTGATTGCTTATACTGACTGTTTCCCTTCATGTGGGCCTGTGGGGAAGAATTTTGTGGAATACTAACACAATACAAAGGAGAGAAAGCGGGAGGCCGCCATTTAACTGTGTTTGGCCTTGATAAACAGTAAACCAAGGGCTTTAAAGGTCATTGTGCCTTTCTATTAATAAATAGATGAGGAGGTGCTGTTCCCAGGGGTGGCCCTCTCCCCATGCACAATTATTGTTGTGGCTTCCTGCACCCCATTTCATGGCACGCCCACTGGAAATGTTGTAAAGCTGCCAAATCTGTGGCAGGCAAAACTGACAAACTTTGCCTGTCTCATTTTTGTAGAATGGTGATGAAAATAAATAGTCAGGCTGCTGCCTGTGAGATTTCCTTCTCCTGCAGTTTGCAAACACAGTCCATGTCCTAGCTGTGCTGCACTTAAACAAAGTATGTTACCCTGTTTCTTCAGCAGAGAGCTGGGTTGTCACCGTTTGGCAATTACTGATGGAGCAGGAAATCTCACTCCCTGCTGCACGTACGTGAACGTGAGGACGGAAGAGAAGCAATGTTTATGGCTCGTGCTTGGAGACCAGATGCTGCATAGCATCTCTTTTCCAGAACTTTGAGGGGACCTGAAACCCAGAAGTATAGTAATGCTCTATTTTGGGACCAGGGGGTGGAGGGAGAAGGCAGGGGAGTACAGGCATGTGGGAAATCTACTTCATTTTTTATTTTACCTGATTGTATTGTGCTGTCTATTATGGTTGGCTTTTCTGTGGTCAGCACTGTGGTACCACCTGAAAAACAAATAGTAACATAAGAAAGTGAGAAGTGCTGCATGCTTACATACATTTGATAGAGGCAAACATTTTCCACAGAAAAGTCTTCTTTTAATCCCAGTTCTAGTCATTATTTTACTTCAGTTTTGCTCATCAAACTATAAAGGTCAAATCAACTATTATTTTTTTTACCCAGCACATTTGTTCATAAAACAAATCTAGGTGATGGGGAGCTTTTAAGACTTTGTTTCAAAGCCATTCCTTGATTCCCAGACTGGACTTGGCATGCAACTAACTGCAGTGGTGAAAACAAAGGCCTCCCGATGTCCTCTGTGACTGGGGTACTAAACTCACCTAGACCTCTAAACTTCAAAGAGTTTCCTAAGATTTTATATTTGAGCCTTCAGGGGAGTTACAAGGCAAGTCCCACAATCTATTTTAAAAACTGAAGGTTTAAAGTGAATGGCGGTAGTTCCTCCTTTCTTTCTTTTTGCTACAACAGTTGTTTATTTTCCCTCAAAGACAGATTTTCTGCCCAGTATGCGGTTTGGAAAAGCTGCAGGAAAAGGAGAGGGCAGAAACATTTCTTCACAGTTCCAAGGAACTGGAGATTGCACAAATAACTCCATGGACAATGTGAGCTCTCAATCAGTTAGAGTCGACTTTGAAGTTAACTAGTCAGGGGACCTCGTGGAAATGTAGCTGTGTCTTTTTCTCTCTGTTAGTTCTTCCATTGTCCTCTCTTCATCATACTTGTTTTAGACTTGCCTAACCAGAAGAATCACCTGAACACTTGTTGAAATTGCACTTCCCAGTCCATTTAATGTCCTCAGATCTCACTGAGAACCAGAATCTCTAGGGAGATAGCCCTTGAAATCCGTATTTTTGAAAGATTCCCAGGTGAGTCTTATAATTCAGTAAGCTAGGAAAACACTGGTTTGCCGTTCATTACTTAGGTGCTCATTTAGGCATTTCTCCTTAAGAGTGCCTGTACTGTAGATCATAGTCAGAGACAATCTATTTGCTAACCCAAGAAATGAAGTTCTGGGCAGACTCCGGGTAAGGGCATGGGGAGGGCCCATGACTGTCATGAAGAGTTTTGGAGGAGGGTATAAGGTGCCATTGTAGACCTTCCAATAGTATCATTCAATAATGATCTGTGATCATCTCTATTGCACCTGGGACCTGGTCCTGTCTGGCAGCTACCAAAGGTCAGAAGTCATCCAGATCATGAATTAGAATTGTAGAATTGTGCTCTTGGAATGGTCTGAAGATTTCTGAGCTAATTGGTTGCAGCACCATGTCACATTAGCTCTGCTCTCCCAGTAAATGTTCTGGCTGGGTGGTCACATATGTATGTGGCTCCAATGAAGCAGGCTCAGAAAGAAGGAATTACACGTATTATGGGTTAAGAAGGTGAATCTATAATGGCAGAATTGGATGGATGCCAGAATACATTAGCAGTCAGTTCTCAGTGGTCTTATAGGAGAAAAACTCAAGGTGAAACTTCACTTTTTAAAACCAATATGCATTATCAGTTTTGTTATAGGTTGGAAGCCAAATTCCACTGTTGGGTACACACAGATCCAATGTGAAATTTGACCGCCCAGTACCTTTGAAGGCAATTGCATTATCTTTTGAGTTCAAAGGCATTTGCAAATGAATAACTTGGAGGTGAATTTTCACCTTGGCAAGAAAATACAGGAGAGCAAAACCTTCCCTCATTTCCAGACATTTGGTACATTTCACCTGGAATTCAGTGTTGGTAAGTAATGAACCTTTAGCTATGATACTTACGTCTGTCTATGTACAAATAGGTCACTCCAGGAGGAGAAATTAAAGCAACAACATCTGCTTTAAAATACTAAACGCTGTTGAAGAGAGCCTTGATCCCAGTCTCCATGTTCCCATCTCTCAGGGTAAAGCAAGAATGCTTTCAGTTTGTTTCATTGTACCAAACACTCAAAGTTTGCAGCTCTGACAGTGAAGCTTGTGCGAGAGTGAGCAAAGAGGGTGCAGAGCTGTGTGTTCCTAGGATGAGACTTGTTCACACGTGAAGAGATGCCTGACTTAGGTGATGGTTTTGCTCCTGGCAAACACTGACATATGAGCACACCCTTTTCCAGAAAAGGATAACAAAGAGCTTTATTAAGCAAACTGGGCTATAATGTAATAAATGAATATGAAGCATGATATGTCTTCTAAAATCCCTTCTTGATGAGGGTGTGAAGTATGCATTATGAACACTCCAGAAGTTCTTAGTATTATACAAATATTTATAGAATTATGGAGACAAATGTGCTGGCCTAAGAAAATAACTTTTTTTTTGCCATGGTAATATGCAAAAAAAAAAAAACAAAACAAAACTAGAATGAACTTTTTTCTATGTACACAAAACATGATTTTAAAAGCTGTAGATAAACTATTACCTTATACTTATACAGCATTGTCAGTTTTCCACTATAAGCGACCCTTTTTTTCTGTAGTTTGTGACTCGTTGCCATACACAATTTGCTCCAGGCTAACATATTTGCCCTATTTCATTCAAAGGCTTTAGTCTCAATTGAATCAGTCATGAACTGATGCAAAATGATGTTGGTTGTTCCGATATGAGTAGTAAATCTGAGGCTTTGTTCTAATCAATATTAACTGACCATGTTAGGGTATATAAAGAAAAGAACCCTCTCCACAAGAGGCTAATTGAAAAGGGTATACTGTGATGATTGCAGCCATTCCTTTTTATGAGGAATTTCACTACAGACGTGTGATACTGTCTGCAAAAAGCCTGAGGCTCATGGCAGTGTTTACAGACAATGCTGGGAAGGTTGCCACAAGACCTGGTTCACAGAACGGTACTCTGTTTTTAACATCATATGGAGGGCTTTCAGCTAGAACTTGACATTTTACAAAGAAAATGCCTCTGCATTAATTAGAGTAATTTTTGTAACTTATGGCTATTTACATAAAAGCTTTGTTTTCAAAAGCCCATAGCAATGTAACACTTATTGCCCATGTGAATGTAAGTGATTAACCTGGAAATTTGCAAGGAGATAGCCTTAGGAGGTGCGATTTAAATGTAAACCCAGTATATGGTACTAAATTTCTGAGCTAAATTTTATTCCTTATGCCACCTCCAAGTACAGAGCTCTCATACTCCTTCAGAGGGGGGCTTTTGAAGTAAATGGAAATGTACTTTGGGATATTTCCTTTCAGATTTTATATGAATGCACTAGCCAATAACATCATACATTACTATGAAGTTACATGGTAATGCCTTCAGTTCCACCCATGGAAATTAATTATGTGGGCTCTTTAAGTCCTTTCTGGGTAAAAATACAGACCTGCATCTAAGAGTTCATGTTTAATCTAAAATGAGAGTCAGATGCTATATGAAACTGCATTTTGTCCCAGGTATCAGTGAAGGTCCCATAGTTCCTTTTGCAACAATAAGGTGAAATTTCTAGTGCCTTGGCCAATTTCCAAATGGTGCAATTCCATCCTGCACTTGCCTAACATTTCCTTTGCCATTCCAAGTGGAAGAGAAGGTCACTTTCTGAGTTTGAGGGTGTTAGACTATTAATGGAGTAATACTCTAAATTAGTGAGGCATTTGACACACAGCAGCCCTGATATATTTGCTAGTTGGTGGTAATGTGAAGTGACGACTAATTCTGTCATTGAAACTTTTAATGTAAAATGATTTACAAAATCCTAACTTAAAAGCTGCATTTCAAATATAAGCCTAATTTCATCAATTAATTAGCTAAAGGATCCACTCAAAATATTTATCCTCACTGGAAAACAGCAATAAATATTCCAAAGTGTGTGGTTATGTAATTAATTTGTTATGGCAGGGGTAAGGGGGTAACTGAAGATGAAGATCTGTTCAGCACTTTTAACTATGGAGAAATTCTTACTCTATCAAGATAATCCTAGTGTTGGCTCTGAAAATGACTAAAATTATCGTTTAAAATGGTCATGGCTATTAAGAACAAGTTGTTTACACAAATGACATGCGAAACAAGGATGTGTGCCTTCTGGCAAGCCTGCCTCTGCTGGGGCAGCTCTGCCACCACCTTGATGACCCCTGCCACGAGGAGTCACACAAACACAAATGGCATTAATTAGCTGGTCTCAACAACTGCATGAACTGAAATGGCACAGCAATGGGATGAAGATGGTTTCTGCACCTGTGAGCTGGAAGTCATCACCTGTTCCACTGTGGCAATTGGCCTGATCGTCATCACATTCATCCACCAGGTTCCCATTGGGAGTGGTCGGTCCAGCTGTAGGTGCTGAAATAAAATCCAAGGATTATTATCTCACCTCTGAAATGTATTCTCAAGCCTGTGGCTGTTGAATCTGCTAACACTTTTGAAGAAAACTCTAATCTGTTGCAAGAAGGCCAGGAGCAAGGTTTACCTCTTTCAGGAATTTGCAGAATCCATTGGGGACTGCTTTGTTTTGGTATTCGATCTATATCTGATGAATAGAGATGACTGCCTTAGCATCTTCTACATTGTTATCTACATAAACATCATTTTTCTAAAAAGTTCTTGAATTTTCAATGGTTATTTATTCATGACTCTGGAGTTGAGAAATTTAATTGTAGAGATATTGCACGAATTGTTTTTCTGCTCATTTTCAAATTGCTAGAGAACTCACTTGTCATGAATTCTATTATAGTCTTAGTACTTACTAAGTTTTCTTAGTTCATACTATAAGTTTTTCCCCAAAAGACAGTCCCAACACATTCACCTTTAGTACAATATTGTTCTTTATTTTCTTTAAAGATTGTTCCCCTCAACTTGTGATTGCTCATTCACCTCAGATCAGGTGTCTGAGAGGACTTGTCTTAGATATCCTGGGGGTCGTTTTACCTGAACTCCCATAGGGCTGCATTCCACTGCCAGCAGGGATTCTCATACCTTTGAGTTTGTAGATGAAAGGTATCCAACGTTAATCAAAGACTGCTTTTGAAGTTCTTTAAATTAAGTTTGGTCTATTTTTTTTCAGCCTGTTACTCATTTTTGCAATCTGTTTAATGTTTTACAGTTTTTGGCATCACATTTCACTTTATGAGATTGGAGATAATGTACAGTTCTCCTGATGTTCAAGAACCAGACAAGAGTGGGGGCCTGTTCTCTAATAGCTTGTGGCCAGTAGTAATGTGCTGGTAACTGCTGCTTTCTCAATAAAAATTTGACATTGTAATTGTGCTTAAATACTGAGCAGAGTTATGACAAATGTAGAAATGTAGCTAGTTTCAAGTTTCTCAACTCCCGCAAAGCACGCACACCAATGATCACTAGGAAATCAGCACGTACAGATACTGTGCCCACTATTTAGGCATACAGACTATACTTTGTAAAACACATATATAAATATGCCAGGCTCTACTCACTTTTTCAATTTTAATTTTTATATTTTTCAATTACATTTGACATGCAATATTATATTAGTTTTAGGTACAAGATACACAGCATAGTGGTTAGACATTTGTGTAACTTACAAAGCAGTCACCACAATAAGTCTAGTGTCCACCTGGCAACACACGTAGTTACTATAATATTGATTATATTCCTTATGCTGTACCTTTATATCCTCATGACTATTTTGTAACTGCCAATTTGTGTATCTTAAACCCTTCACCTTTTTAACCCAGCCCTTAACCCCGGCTCACCCCTGTTAACCATTAATTTGTCCCTTGTATCTATGAGTCTCTCTATTTTGTTTGTTCATTTATTTTGTTTTTTAGATTCCACATATAAACAAAATCATATGGTATTTGTTTCTCTGTCTGACTTTTTTCACTTAGCAAAATACACTCTATGTATATCCATGTTGTTGCAAATGGTAATATTTCACTCCTTTTTATGAATAATATTCCATTATATATATGTACCACATCTTCTTTATCTACTCATCTCCTGATGGACATTTAGGTTGCTTCCATATCTTGGCTATTGTAAGTAACACAGCAGTAAACATAAAGATGCATATATCCTTTTGAATTAGTGCTACGGATTTCTTCAGATAAATACCCAGAAGTAGAATGATTGGGTCATAAGGCAGTTTTATTAAATTTTTTGAAGAATATCAGTACTATTTTAAATAGTGGCCAGACCAATTTGCAATGCCATCAATAGTGCACAAGTGTTCTGTTTTCTCCATATCCTGGCAAACGCTTGCTGTTTGTTGTTTTATTGATGATAGCCATTCTGACAGGCATGAGCTAATATCTCACTGTGGTTTTAATATGCATCTCTCCGATAATTAGTAACATTGAGCATCATTTCATATGTCTATTGGACATCTGTATGTCCTCTTAGGTCCTCTGCTCACTTTTTAAAAATAAATGAAGCCCATTTTGCTATTTCAGGTATTAACGATAAAAAAAATTCAGCCCAGCTGTTGCATTTTAAGAAATGAGAATACCCCATTTTTAATTGGATTGTTTGTTTTTTTTTTTTTTGGTGTTGATTTGTATGATTTCTTTATAATTTTGGATATTAAGCCTTTATCTAGTGTATCTTGGCAAATGTCTTCTTCCATTTAGTAGGTGATTTTCTTGTTTTGTTGGTGGTTCCTTTGTTGTGTAAAAAACTTTCTAGTTTGGTATAGTCCCATTTGTTTATTTTTTCTTTTGTTTCCCTCACCTGAGGAAATATATCCAAAAAATATTACAAAGAGCAATGTCAAAAAGTTGACTACCTATGTTTTATTCTAGGATTTTATGGTTTCAGGTCTTACATTTGTCTTTAATCCATTTTAAGTTTATTCTTGCATGTGGTGTAAAAAGTAGTCTAGTTCACTTTTTTGTATATTCTGTCCAGCTATCCCAATGCCATTTATTGAATAGACTTTCTTTACCCCATTTTATGTTCTTTCCTCCATTGTTAAATATTAATTAACTATATAGGCATGTGTTTATTTCTGTTCTGTTTCACTGATCTGTTTTTATGCCAGTACCATGCTGTTTTGATTACTCTGGACTTGTAGTATATTTTGATATCAGGTAATGTGAAGTCTCCAACTCTGTTCTTCTTTGTCAATATTGTTGTGGCTATTAAAAAGTCTTTCATGTTTCCATAGAAATTTTAGAATTATTTGTCTTAGTTCTATGAAAAATTCTATTGGTATTTTGAAAGGGATTGCAACTGAATCTATAGATTGCTTTGAGTAGTATGGATATTTTAACAATATTAATTCTTCTTATGCATGACACTTCAAGTACAAGTCTTTTATCTCTTTGATAAAATTTATTCCTAGGTGTTTTATTCTATTTTTTTTGATGAAATTATACATGGGATTGTTTTCTTAATTTCCCTTTCTGATAGTTTGTTATTGGTGTATAAAAATGCAACAAATTTCTGAATATTAATTTTGTATCCTTCTACATTGCTGAATTCTTTTATCAGTTCTGATAATTTTTTGGTGGAATCTTTAGGGTTCTCTATGTACAGTATCATGTCATCTAAAAATAGTAACAGTTTTACATCTTTCTTTCCAACTTGGATGCTTTTCATTTATTTTTCACGTCTGATTACTGTGGCTAAGACTTTCAGTACTATGCTGGATAAAAGTCGTGAAAGTAAACAACTGGGTCTTGTTCATGATCTTAAGAAAACATGCAGTAAGCTTTTCCCCATTGAGTATAATGTTAGCTATTGATTTGCCATACATAGCCTTTATTATGTTGAGGTGCATTCCCTCCACTCCCACTGTGTGGAGAGTTTGTTTTTTTTCTAAAATCATAAATGGATGCTGGATTTTGTCAAACGCCTTTCCTGCAGTTATTGATATGATCAAATGATTTTTATCCATTATTTTTAAGTGGTGCATATTAATTGATTTATGAATATCGAATCAAACTTGTATCCCAGACAGGAGTAAATCACACTTGATTTTGGTTTGTTCTTTTCAATGCATTGATAAATTAAGTTTGTTAAAATTTTGTTGAAGATTTTTGTGTTTATGTTGATCAAGGATATTGGCCTATAATTTTCTTTTCTTATAATTAATTGTCAGGGTTTGAAATCAGAATAATGTTGGCCTTCTAAAGTGAGCCGCGAGTCTTTACTCCTCTTGAATTTATTGAAATAGTTTGAAGAGGATGTGTTAATTATTCTTTGAATGTTTGGTAAAATTCATATGTAAAGCCATCTAGTCCAGGACCCTAGTTTGTTTAGAATTTTTGATTTGACTTCATTTTTAGTAATTTATCTGTTCAGATTTTCTGTTAGTTCTTGATTCATTCTAAGAAGAGGCTATCTTTCTAGGCATTTATCCATTTCTCCCAGATTGTCCAGTATGTTGGCATATAGTTTATAGTATTTTCATATATCCTTTATTATTTCTTTGGTGTCAGTTGTTACTTCTCCTCTTTCATTTCTTGTTTTATTTATTTGTGTTCTTTTTTTCTTCATGAGCCTGGTTAAAGGCTTATCAATTTTGTTTATCTCTCCAAAGAACCAGCCCTTGGTTATATTGATCTTTTCAATTAATTTTTTATACTTTCTGGCATTTATTTCCACTCTAATCTTTATTATTTCCTTTCTTCTACTAACTATGGCTGTATTTACTGTCCTCTGTCGGTCCCTTTAGGTTCAAGGTTAGATAATTAATTTGAGATTTCTCCTTGTTTCTTGGGGTAGGCCTGTGTTGCTATGAATTTTCCTCCTAAGAGTGCTTTCACAGTGTGTCATATACTCTGGGTCTGTGTTTTCATTTTCATTTGTCTCAAAGTATCTTTTGTCTTTAGATGACTAAATAGAATTTATTTATTTTTTATTTTTGTTCAATTACAGTTGTCCCAGTTTTCCCCTATTGCTTTCCCCTGCCCCGCCCAGACCTTGCTCCCACAGTCAATCCCCACCCTGTTGTCCATGTCCATGGATCCTTCTGCCTTGATCTTATTGCTATCTCATTCATTGTTGGTAGCATATTATTCAGCCTCCATGTGATTGTGTGTTTTTAATTTTTCTTCTTGTAATTGATTTCTAGTTTCATACCATTGTGGTTGAAGAAAATGCTTGAGATGATTTCAAATCTCTTTAAATTTTTTGAGATGTGTTTTGGGGACAAATATTTGGTCTATGTTATAAATTGTTCCATACGTGGCTGAAAACATTGTGTATTTGGTTGCTTTGGGGTAAAATGTTCTATAAATATCAATGAAATCCATCTGGCCTACAAAGTCATATATGGCTACTCTTTTTTGTTTAATTTTTGTTGAATTTTTGTCTGGAAGATCTATCCATTAATGTCAATGGGGTGTAAAAGCTCCCTGTAA